GACCACTCCTGCCTACACACACGTTCATGACGCCAACAGCCGTCTTTGACATGTTTTTGCCTTTTTTGCTAAAGGAAATGTTCCTGGTCATTACAGTCTGTGGTTGAAACAAAACCTGAATTACAGATGCTCCATAACTAACTACAGTTACGTTCCAGATGTTTCTGTGAGGAGATGAAATGATTTCTCACCTCTGCGGCTGTCCATCACGTACGTCTCTATGATGGCGCTCTTTCTGCAGATGTCTTCAGCCATCGACGAACAGCTCACCTCCAGATGTTTCACCTGAAACAGACAAAAAACACAATTAGTATTCACTGAAGTCACAACGTGTTTATGTAACAACAAACTAAGTCCTTTCTTTGCCATCATTAAACCTGAAACAACTTATTAATATTTAAGCGATTAATAAAGTTCTGCTGAATTATCCACTGGGCTCACAGTGCTACTATACAAACCACCTAAATATTAAACAGACATTAATAATGCATCTAAAAATACAAACCTGCGTCTGAAAACAGGACAGACGTTTTACTGTTGACTCGAATAACAAAGAGAAGCATTAAAGCCTCTAAAAGGCACAAGTGAGGCGTTAAATCAGGACGTGGAGAATGTTCTGCTTTCTCTGTTAGAGTTTTCCACTCCTGTGTCATGTGCTTAGGACTTCAGGAACAGGACATATAGTTTGCTTTCCGGTTTAGCCAAAGACTCCTCACCTTCTCTTCCAGCATCCATTTCTCCTGCTGAACCTCAGCGAGCCGCTGGAACAGCTCTCCGACCTCATCATCGGATAATTCGGCGGGGCGCTGAGACTGAGGGCTGCCTCCTCCGGACTGACAGACACACACACAGAGGCTTCAGTTAGTGTGAAAGCTCTGCTGCCTTGCTTTATAGCACTTCAGAGCTCATTCAAACCCAGAAGCTCAACCAAGAGGGAATTCGTCACATTATTGGACACGTCACAGGGAAGAGTATCATAGGGCTGCCTTATCATTAACAGTTTATTTGTAAAGTAAAGTACAGAAGCTGTGTCTGATGTACTGCACATGTGTGGAACGCCAGGACTGAGATAACAACACTTTTATAACCACTCTTTTAAGTTGGGTTAAACACACTGGCCAGAATCATCAGGGAAACAGACACAATAATGTTTGTTAAGGTAATAGACTCATCGCTGTAACTGTTTTTTCTGTGTTTAATCAAACTCAAAAGCTGATCTGAGGCAGAAAACTCGTTTGAATCAACACAGTAGAGTCCTCTAAGATCAAAAGTTTATTTTTTATGCACCTAAAAGAACTAAAATGGAACAAACCAAAACACCTTTTATGACCTGAGTTCATGTACACGACTAGCAGCTACTTAATATTATGACTGCAGTGCTGGCTGAGTTTAAGCACGACTTAACTGCTGCATGGAAAGTCCTCTATCTGCGCCTTTAATTTAAAGTGCAAAAAGTCTTTCCCCAGAATTACACTGGCGGCATGTCTGTGACGCGTGTTATGTCCTTCACACAGGTTCTCACCCCAACACAAGCAGAAGCAGTGTGTTTAATCTGTACAGTCTTTTATTTTGAAAACTGATCGCTCTTGTGCTCGACTTCCTGCCCTCCTCAGGTTGATGAGACTTCTGTGAAAAACAGAATCGGCGCGTAATTCCGAAACACACCGAGGAGCATCTGCACGTATCGTCTTCAGTGGGTGTGATTAGTGATGGAGGCACATTCGCTGCATCTCAGAGGTTACAGTGTCTGATGTGCAGCTTCCTGCTGGTACATTCAGGCGTTGATGGCAGGACAGTGAAGCCAAACTACAGACGTCTTAAAAAAAACTTATGGTGCCACATGAGGAGACTCTCAAATGCAACTGCGAGAGTGTCGTGTCACACTGGAGTATTTCCACCTGAGGAAAAGGTTTCTTAGATAGAACTTCGTCCATTATGGAGGCATGTGAGCTATTTGATAAGAGAGCTTATTAGCAGATTCACACGTTGGTCAATCAATAAAGTTGTTCCTCTTCTCTTAAGTGTTGCTCGAGTTCCTGCATTGTGAATCGTTTCATCCTCTCTATGCATCTTGGAAGTAGCTGGAGTTGTGCCAGAAGTTTTTGCTGCCTTTCACAGGCTTGCTAACATGAACATTACCTCCGTTGTGTGTGAGAGGATCAAACTGCTGCCACAGTCTGTTCTGCTTTTACACAGCAGCTGCTATCACAGTTTGGGTTCAAGATAATAAGCAGACTTTGTAGTCTCGCGTGTTAAACTCTGCTGAGCCGAACTTTAAAGTCGGATGGAAACAAGTGAAAAAAGTCATCATCATCAGCCCACTGACATCTACATGTCTGAACACACATGTACACAAAAACATTCAGTTTGTAGTTTTCTTATTCAAATTTAAAGTGTGGACCGAAAAGGGACCTTTGAAGCACGCTGAGGCTTTACTCATCACAGGTGTCTGATGGGAAACGTTGCAGCAGCAGGACATCATCAAACCCTCTTTTCTCTCATGTGATGCTGTTGCTAATAACAACCGCATCACCACAGTAAACTGAAGTGATGGAGGACTCTGCAGTGTCATGTTTTGACAGAAACACTCATCAACATACAGAGAGTCTGTCAGCTCTATTTACAGTGTTTCTATCAATAGAAACACACACACACACACACACACACACCACTGACAGAGATAAATATGGCACCAGGAACTTTAAAGATAAATCAGTTGTAAAACGTAATAAAAGAACAAAAGAGAGGATGACGGGATGTTACAGTTAAATCTGTCTTTCAATACAACCTGGAGGTCAGAGGTCGTGATTCGACCTGACACAGAGCTAAGAGGTCAGGAGCAGAAGCTTGTTTAGCTTTCACTGAATACACTAAAAACACTAATTAAATCACTTTTAACATCCTGTCGAGGATTCAAACTGTGACTTTTGCTTACATTTAGTTTTAACACAGCTTAAATAAATACCACGGTTTACATTTTAATGTGATGAAAGCGCACAGCCGGTCAGGGCTCCACTATTCTGCCAAATTAATTTTCTGCTTCACTTTCCTAAAGCCTGAAGTATTCAAACAAAAAGGCAAAAGTTATCAGAAGGTTCTGAGAGCAGCTCCATAAAAACCTGTTTAAAATCCTCCTCTTGGGCATATTCACACAGC